TCATACTTCTTCCCATTCCCATCCCCTCATTTCAACTCCTCTCCTTATTTACAAGATGTTTGTTTTTATTTTAACTCTCTTTTCTCATTTTTCTTCTTTTCCCTTCCTTCCTTTCCTTCTCCCACCTCCCTTGTGCCCCTTCCCACTTGAACATTTTCTTCCTATTTCATAATATCTATTATACATTTCGGTCCTGATTTACACTTTCAGATTTTCATATGAGAGAAACAGTGTGTCAAATTTATTTCACTTAAGAGTATGGTCTCTAGGTGCATCCATTAACTATAAATGTCTCAACTTTACCCTTCTGTATGGCTGAGTAGTATTCTACCGTATATTAAAAAAAAAACCCACCACATCTTTTTAGACATTTATTGGTTGATGGGCATTTGGGTTATTTCCAAGATTTAGCTAATTAAAAATTCTGCAGTTGTGCTGCTATGAACACTGGTGTGCATATATCACTGTGGTATGATGCTTTTAATTCTTTAATTCTATTGGGAAGGGGGATAGCTGGACCAAGTCCAAAAACCACACCTTTCACAATAGCATCAAAAAAAATGAAATACTTAGGAATCAATCTAACAAAAGAAGTAAAAAAAATCTCTGCATTGAAAACTACAGTAGTCTGAAAAAGGAGACTGAAGAAGATATCAGAAAATGGAAAGACATCCCTTGCTCATGGGTAGGAAGAAGCAACATACTAAAAATGGCCATACTTCCAAAATTGTTATACAGATTTAATGCCATCCCAATCAAAATACCAATAGCATCCTCACAGAATTAGAGGAAACATTTCCAAAATTTACTTGGAACCAGAAGAGACCTAGAATAGCAAAAACATTTCCAGGTAACATAGGCAAGGCAGGAGACATCACAATCCCTGACCTGAAGTTATACTACAGAGCTACTGTGAAAAAAAAGCATGGTACTGGGAAAAATTAAATCTGAGGATCAATGGAACAGATTAGAAGATGCAGAAACAACTCCAGACACACTCAGCTACCTCATCTTTGACAAAGGGGCCAAACACCTTTACTGGAAGAAAGATAGCCTCTTTAATAAATGGTGCTGGAAAAACTGTCTTTCCACATGCCAAAGCCTAAAACTGTACCCATGTCTCTCACCATGCACTAAGCTAAAATCAAAATGGATCAAAGATCTAAATATTAAAACAGAAACACTAAATCTGCTCAAAGAGAGAATAGATGGAACTCTTGAAAGCATAGGTATAGGCAAAGACTTCATGAATGAAACCTGATCACATGGGAAATATTACAAAGAATCAACAACTGGGATCTCATCTTATTAAAAAGCTTTTGCGGCCAGGTATTTAGCTTAGTGGTTTCGCCACCTGCTGCATAAGCGCAAGGACCCGAGTTCAATTCCTGGTAGCAACAACAACAACAACAAAAAACTTTTGCACAGCAAAAGAAATCACCAACAGAGTAAAGAAACAACCAACAGAGTGGGAAAAAAATTGCCAGCTGTTCCTCAGACAAAAGACTGATATCTAGAACATATAAAGAACTGAAAAAATTAAACCACCCAATTTAAAGACCCAATTCTTAAATGGACATCTGAAATGAATACATACTTCTCAGATGAAGAAATATAAATGATGGGCTGGGGATTACCTGAGTGGTTTCGCTGCCTGCTGCGCAAGTGCAAGGACCCGAGTTCAATCCCCGGTACCAAAAAAGAACAAATAACAACAACAACAACAACAACAAAATATAAATGGCAAATAAATATGTGAAAAGTGTTTAATATTATTGGTCATTCAAGAGATGCAAATTAAAACAATGCTGAGATTTCATCTCACTCCAGAAAGAATGACTATTACATAGAAATCAACCAATAACAAATGCTGATGGGGCTGTGGGGAAAAAGGAACCCTTGTCCACTGTTGGTGGGAGTGTAGACTGGTGTAACCACTGTGGAAATCAGTGTGGAGATGGCTCAAAAAATTTTATTTTTAAAATGACTGTTAGCCGGGCAGAGAATTTAGCTCAGTGGTTTTGCTGCCTGCTGCGCAAGCGCAAGGACCTGAGTTCGATTCCTGGTACCAAAAAAAAAAAAGATTGTTAGCTAACACAACTGAGAAATATTATCAGTATTAATGAAAGGTAAGTCCAGAAAGGGGTAAAATAAAATGAACATTTCATCCACAAACGAATTTGATCAGGAGGAAATGAGGTCTACTCAAAGTATACTGAGGGCTCAGAGACAAAAGGAAGAATGGGACAATAGCCAACAACGAAAACAGAAAGATCATGTTTATCACAATTGGAAATTGGAAAAACATAACAAAGAGCATGAGGTGTCTAATTTCAGGGCTCCCATGGTCAAGACCATCTCATAAAACGCAATATAGATTGCTTTATGATGCTTAGTAATAGCAACAACTTAAGTTTTATAACATTTTTCATATCTCCTGTTTATAAAAATATCATTATTTTCTGTGGACAAAAAAATCAGTTTCTGTAGATAGAGGTTACTATGAAAAAATTGTCTTCAAAGCAAAGGAAAACTTCCTAAAAATCCAAACTCAGATGGTTAATTTTCTTGTGAGGTTAGAATTTTGCTGGCTTCCAGACTATTAAGTAGTGACTTTGAGATTGTTTATAAGGAGTTCTGAAGGGGAAAGTCATTTATTGGATAAGACAGAGATGATAGTGACCCTTAATTCATTTCCTATCCTGATATTCTAGGATTTGGGTTTGGCTATAAATTATTTCCTATAGCTGTATCATATCAAAGGGCTCTTCTATGAATCAAAAGGCTTTTCTGTTAATTGAGTTTCTAAATATCTGACCGAATATAGAAAAAAAAATTCACCTTGTATATTTCCTAGTGATTACTAAGAGGTTGAAGACTCCTACAGTTTTTCCTAAGAATAAATAAATAATACATACCTATAACCAGATACGGTTCTTCCATGCATTCTGGACTTTCTGGTAATGAAGAGTGTTGTTCACTTTATAACTGGAACTTTTCTCATGTGGTCCTGTTCAGGGTCTGACAGTGAAACTAGCTTCAGCCTGCAATATACTTCTCACCTCACTGCCAATGCTCTTAGGAGACCTGAATACTAGTGGTGTTTCTCTGATTATCGCTGCCAAGTTTGGTATAAGCAATCACATTACCCCAGAGACACTATAGCACTATTTAGCTAACACTTATGAAATGTTCTTATATCCCAAGGACTATTCTAAGTGTTTTATAGATGATTCACTTAATTTTCTGAATAGCCCTATGATGTTGATGCTAATTTTATTCTGATTTTACGGATGATGTAGCCAAGGTACAGAGGAGTTAACTAATATACACAAAAGTCCCGAAATTGGTGAGGGAAAGAGTTCAGACTTAAACTCAGAGACTTTGGATTCCAATCATCTGCTCTTAATTTTCAGTTCCTTCTTTTTTATTTCTACATGAAATGATGTAGTCTGTCAGGGAGAGAAAGAAAAGGAAAAAAAAAAAAACCAAGAAGCAATGAGATGCAATAGAAAGAATATTGGATTCAAAATCAAGACGCTGGATTTCTGGACTTGATATTGTTCTATTTAATTTTAAGTGAACCATTTAGCGGCTGTTCTCCACCTGTAAAATGTAAATGAATTTAATGCCATTTGATTTAATACTATTTATACCTTTCATTTCAGAATTTCTACAAATCACCTTCACATGCATGATCTCATCTAAGCTTTATAGAAAATCTGTAAGAAATTTGAGCCTCTGAATCCTTAGAATGGTTGTGATCCCCCACCCACAATCCACCCACTTTGTTGCACACATGGGAAGGATTCCAAAGCTAATGTCTCTTCTTTCTATATTTTGATGCCCTATTTTACATACATGGAAGCATCTTCTAAAGTGTGAAATAATATACCAACATTAACTTTTATAATATACGTGGCCAGCAATGGTAGATTGGTAATGCTTTCCATAAAAGAAGGCTGCAAAGAAAGGTCAATTTTGGAATTAGTTGTGGATGAGCCACGTTAGTTTATATGAAAACCACATGCTTTCTTAATTTATTTTGTTTAAATCCCAGAACAAATGCAAAACTGATGGAAGAATATGCTGCCTTTTTGTGCTTCAGTGAATTTCTTATTTTGAAACATGAAATGATAAATGTTTGAACAGCTGTAATTATAAAGTTAAGGAACCATATAACACACACACACAGGCACACACACAAACATGAACACGTTTTTCTTCTTCCAGAGCTATTTATTGGTTGGAACTATGCCACAAAAAAGAATCCCTATGTGAATATAAATATTTTTTCATTTATTTTGCTGAATCCTTTGCATGGTTTAACTTTCTCCATGTGGGGTTTACCTCAAGAGTAGAAAGAAAAGGAAAAAATGTGGACAAACCAGATTTTGTGATTTATTGTCTTGGAACAGTTTCTGAGCTATTGTTTCTTCAGGTACAAGCTAAATACTTTTGCAGCAATTCAGGACCAGTAGGAAGGAGTTGGATGTGGACTCTCAGCCATGGCTCTGACTCTTGAACAAATCTTTAGTTTCCATTTTACCTTTGTATACTTAAGAGGCTTGAATAGAAGGATTTGTTATTTCTTATGCAATTTCTTTTTTTAAAGCAATATACTCTAAATATATACTATTATGCAGGTGAGTCTGAATGTCTACTTAATCCATATGCAGTCATTGTAAATCCTTTTACTGGTCATAAATTTGAAATATGAGAACTCAGTTCTTTGCTGGTGTTCTGAGAAATCATGTGAAAAATTATGGTAGATTTAACTTCCCCACTCTCTGGTATAAATGAAGGAGTGAGCTTGAATCTGCTTCTTGCTGTTTATTGAGACAGGGATGGATCATCCAGCATCATACAGAATGACATCAGAGAATCCTAGAATGTCAGATTTGGAACCTGAGAACCCATTGTTGCAATTTTGTCCATGAGGGAAACAGAGTCATTAGAAGCTTTATGAGAATAAAGAATTTATTATAGGATTTCAACCTTACACAGATGTAGTAGGAACTTCAGAAGAAGATCTAGTGGAGAGTAGGAAGAGCTAAGAAAAGGCCAGTGACTGCTCTTCCTAAAATACTGGTGAGTGTAGACCAATAGGAGCTTTGGCGGGAACCCAAGTCATCTAAAGATGGCTTAAAATTATAGCTAATGTACTCGTGATTTATTGAGCACTTAATACATACATCAGGCACTTCACTTCTCATACTTCTTTCATCATTGATTTGTCTAATTCTCAGATTATTTACATGTAGACGAATATGAAAGTGTATACAGAAGAGCCACATTTTCTTAAGAACAAGGATCCCAGCAGAAAATAACTTAGGTGGAATCTGAGTCACTTTTTACTTTCTCTTTGAGCATGGGGAAATTTGGTAGGAAAGGTAGTGAATGAGGCTATGAAAATAATAGAAAGCTCCACAATCCAGCATCTACAAAGTGGCCCAAATAGGCAACACCTGACACAGACGTGGTCAGAGGAATAGAAAGGTTTGATATTTTTTTTTCTTCTAAGCTCACCATGTCCAACTTTCAGCTCTCAGGAAATTCCAGTATGGTGAGGTAAATGGCATTTTCCAAGTGCCTAGAACTTCATCAGGATGTAGTGCAGGTGATGACAATGTGAATGCAGCTCACTAGGAACAGTGGCTCTTACTAATGACAGTAACTAGGGTGTCTATTTCTGGGGTCACATTGCTTAAATCTAGTTGCTTTCTATATCTTTTGTTCAACTGGCATCCTGGGTTAGCCTTTTTACATGATCCTGGGTATCTTCTTACCTGTGTTAGACCATCTGGATCTTGTATTGAAACAGAAAACAAAATCAGAACCTTCCTGCAAATGGTTGATGGAATCTTTTGTGAACAAAGTGTCTTAGTTTTATCCTTGGAAGTAATTTTTAATTAGGTTTTATTACAATGCTGGGATGTTCAGTATTTAATTATGAATTTTGAAGGCATTGTTCAAGTTTCCTCTTGCTGCTAGTATTGTTTGTTGAGAAGTCCAAATCCATCCACTTCCCTAAAAATTTGTAAGATTTTTCCTCTTCATATCACATTCTTTATTTTTTCATTTTGAATTTTATTTATTTATTTATTTATTTATTTATTTATTTATTTATCTATCTATCTTTTATGCGGTACTGGGGATCAAACTCAGGAACTTGAGCTTGCCAGGCAGGCACGGCACCACTGAGCTACATCCCCGCCCAGCACAATTCTTTTTCTCAATTTTTATGCATTTTCTTCTATTTACAGCTTATGATTATTTCTGAACAAAGGCTCTGATGCATTATATAAGTACTCTTCTCTCCTGCGTTTTCTTTTCTTCTCACTTATAAGTTGCATTTCTTGAACTCCTTTAATTTTAATATTTCTCCAATTTTTCATGTTTCATTCTTGCTATTCCCTTTTTTTATCATTCTTTCAACCTGTTCTTTTCAACTTTTTATTAAGCGTCTCACTTCTACTACTTGATGTTTTTGTTCTTTGAATTATTTATAGTACTTCTTGTTTCATGGCTGAAATATTTTTCTTATTGCTGTGAAGACAAAAATTGTAGGTTTTTACAGAAATTCCTTCTAGTTACATAGGCATTACTTACTCCAAGTTACATTTTTTGTCTTTTTTTTTTTTTGTACTGGGGATCGAACTAGGGACTGAGCTAAATCCCCGGCCCATTTTTTGTCTCTATCTTTTATATTAGTTCATTCTTTGAGCTATCTGCCCATCCTTGGCAGTTGGCTGGTCCTGCTAAGAACAAGGACACAGGATTGGATTGGAACTCAGTGCTTGTTGGGTCCTTGCTAGGAGCAACGTGATGAGCGAGGACTTTGGTGATGTAGTCTTTCTCCATGGGCTAACTAAATCGGAGGAAATGATTCCACCAATATTGGCTTTGGGTGTATTTTAAGTGTGCAAGAGGAGGAAATGATCAAAGTGCTTTTGCTTTTTAAACTACAAAATGGCATCTTATTAAACCTCATAACAAATTGCAAGTTAAGATGAAGGTAAATAGATGAGAAGTGTTAACCTTATCTTCATAGAAGTGGAATTTAAGGAGTTTAGTGATGTATCCATGTTCTCCTGTGGCTGAGTGGATAAATCAGGATCCGGGTGTAGAGAAGGTCAATTCCATAGACATCATATGAAATATGAATAGCCCAATGACCCGATCCAGCCTAGATAACAGTTTCTTGGAGAGTTTATGAGGATCCCCCAGCATTTTTTTCTGCAAGCATAAAATAGGAATCAATACAGAAACAATCTCACATGATTATATAATTTTGACTAAACAGTGCAAATCCTTTTATTCAGAGAAGCACGTTGCACCTCTGTTAGTTCTACATCTAAAATAAAGCTCCAGTCTGTGCTTCTCTCCCCAACTCCATTGCTCCCTTTCTCATCTTCTAGATTATCTAAAAGACCTCCGACTGGAAGAACTCACTCCCATTCTTATCCATTTCTTACATATCTGGGAACCACAAAGGATCTTTTCTAATATGTATATCATGTCATTTTCTGGACTGAAATGTTTGAAAGATTTTCTATAACAACAAAGAATAAGATATACATCCTTACCATGGATCACAGGTCTGACCAGGCTGATTCCTACTCACTGGGAAGCCTTAGGTTTTGCTTCATTTCCTTAGGCCCAACCATTGTGGTTTCTTTTCCAATCTTTGGAAAGTACCGAGGAGGAATTTCCTGCTTATGCTGTTCTCTCCACTTAGGATGTTCTTCCCAGCAACACCAATTTGTGACTGGTGCCTAATCATTCTTTAGAACTCAACTTAAATCATTGCCTCAAGAGGTCTGGTATCATCGAAAGCTCCGATCAGTTAGATCCTTTATATTTCTTTTAATGTTTTAGATTTTCTACAGGTAATAACATGGATAATCAGAAAAAGATTTAAAGAATCTAAAAGGCCTACTTTTCATGGTGTGAATTAGTACATTTTGTGAAAAGCATGTGGTCTTAAGTCACAGAGTGAGATTTTGAGAAGCCAGTTGGTGTGAGACCATGGAATGGATTGAAACAGTATCAAGAGGTCGGGCTTTATCACCAACTGGTGGATCTTAGTCATTTTTATTGTCTTTGTTTCTTTAGTCACTTTTGCTTATTTAAGCAAATCATATTGCCTCTGGGGCACTTCATTTTCTCATATGTGAGGTACAAAGATTGTACTGGAATTGTTCCTATGGACATTTTTCAGCTCAATATTTTGTAATCCTCGGTATTAAAACAGTCTTGGGTCTCCAATTGTTTTCAAATACTGTCAACAACTGCACAATTTTTCAAAAATTTAAAGTAAATCTTAAAATTTATATATTTTTTCATTCTGTAAACATTTTTGAGTAAGGTTAGATCTGCCATCATCTGAATACCTCTGTTATGATTTTATTCCAACACTGGAATTAAACTATATTTCTAGAGTACACACCAGAATTAGGAAGAGATGAGTGATCTCAAAGTACTATAGGAAACAAAGATCATAGTGAATAAACCTCCACTGGATGTTATTCTAAAAAGACTTGAAAAGGAAACATCTCCAAATCTATGAGAAAAAAAAATTCTATCTAAATATGTACTTACAATTGTGTATAGGGACAATCTCCAAGATGGCCATGAATCCATGTTGATTTACAAATTGGAAAGGGAACCCTTTCTGATTAGCTTATTATCTCATCTGTTAGCCAACACTTGAAACTGAATGCAGATCCTAGTAAACATGGTTTAAATATTAACTTATAGTGATTATCAGCTTTCTGGAATGTCAGGTACCAATGCTGTTTTATTCTAATCTGTTAAGGACTTTTTTCTTTCCCCGATACAATCATGGGAATTTATCTTTGGGCAGAATTATGGATGGACCTAGATCCATAACTTTTTACCGGATTTAAATGTTTTGCTAAACCCTACACATCTGGAAAACTATTAATGTGTTACTAACCACATCTTTTGGTGAAATATCACTATCAAAGGTAGAACAGAACAAACTTACAAGGACATCTAAGCAATTGTTAAGTTAAATTTATAAGAAAGGTATGCCTAACAAGACGAGTGAGCAATGGGTCTTGTTCTACAGATTATTTTTTAATACAGAAGTTTTTCTCATGGACAAATTAGGCTAGCATTTTTTTTTTTGGTAGCAGAGATTGAACTCAAGACCTTGCTCTTGCAAAGCAGGCAGTGGAACCCCTGAGCTAAATCCTCCCCTCTCATGGACAAATTATTAGATAGTATATGACAGTTGTTCTGGATGTCTACTTTTCACAATGATAGTGCTTTACATATGTGAACATTTTAGAGCATTCAGAGGGCTTTCACATCAGGTATTGACTATATTGTAAGAATTTGAATAATGTACAAAGTATCTGAATTGTAATTTTTCTTCACAGCTCAATGTTACACATATACAAATATGCTATAAAATATGTTGAATGAATTAATGAATTTTATTCATATATTAAACTGTAAGGTATACCAAGAAGTATTTTATACCATTTTACATATCTAGAAATAGTTTCTGTCATTTGTCAGTGTCTTAAGTAGTTGATACAGGATCAATGGTAAGCTATATTCCAGCGTGATGGTGCTTGCCTATAATACCAGCACTCTGGGACATGGAGACAAGAGAATCACAAATTCAATGCCAACCTGGGCAGTTTAACAACTTAGTGAGATTCTGTCTCAAAGAATAAAAAAGGTGAGGATATATCTCAGAATGAAAACCCTGTATTCAATCCCCTGTCCTGCAAAAAAAAAAAAACAAAAAAAAGACAAGATCTATATTTTGTGTTGTGTTATCCTTTAGTGACCTGAACTATAGATCAAATCCCAGAGACATTAAAACAAAATATCCAATGAAAATCTGCAGAGATGAAATTTTTCAAAGAACACACACCTTTATTTGAACACTGTTATAATATTTCTTATGCGGATAAGGAGACACTTCAAATCAGGATTTATTTTCTCAATTCTTAGGTTTTACTGTCTGTAACAGCATTTTTGTTTGGTTTTGTTTTCTCAAGTATTTAAGGACCACCATTAGTGTTTTTGCAGTATTCACCTCAGGTTTA